CTATAGAAAATGAGATCCGGTTACTCTCTCATAGACTTTGATGGTCACTCCTAAAATAATAATTATAACAAATAATCTTGTTTTTATAATACAGTATAAATAGATTATATTCATTTCTATTATATGAAATTAGAAATGGTTCTGCAGATTAATTTTAATTTTTAAAGTGTTTTTGGTTAATAAATGAATTCAATTATGTAGAGGTAGATATTAAAAGTTAACATTCCAAATTCAAAATTAGAAAAAGAAATATACAGCAGCCAGTAATTTTTATTTTATTTTTATAAGCAAAAAGTTTGTCTCAAAACTTATGAACACACGAGGTATATTCATTTTTTTGTTGCAAAATGTTTATGTATTACCCAAGGATGTTGGAAAAAGACAGATATAGTCTCTTGAAACAACGACTGTGGCGCCTGGCTACTATAGACTTACACGCACAACATAAACAAATTGACACGAAGGACATTTTTGTCATTTTCTTAAGTATATTTACTCGGTAACCCATTACACACGCACATATAAATAATCCCCTGACATATGGTGCTTCAATCGTTTCTAAATGACATGTCCGCCTTTTTTTTTCAACGTCTTTGGTATTAATTTCATCAATATAGTAAGACATAGAGAATAAAGTCTACTCAGTCTACTAACTTGACTTCATCCTCTATGTCTACTCAGTCTACGTAGAATGAGTAGACTGAGTAGACGTAACAAAGTCATAAGTTGCAGCCTCTGGTAAATACCAAACAAGATTTATTTTTACATATTTTTTTTTTATCCATAACATCCATAACATCACGCCTTTTGTCCTCGAAGGGGTAGGCAGAGGTGCACGTTATACTACTGTAAGTACAATGTAACACCCACTTTTCACTATTTATGTTATGAGTCTCTTATAATATGAGGTAATCCTATTGCCATATACCGAGCAAAGTTCCAGACTCCGTTCTACTACTGAGATTTTTTTACAAACCTAATAATACTTTGCCCGACCCGGGAATCGAACCCGAGACCCTTTGCCCGGCAGTCGCACTTGCGACCACCCAACCAACGAGGCAGTCTCTCTGATTACGACAATATAACCAATTAATTATATTTTTGTTTTGAAACGTAATTATCAAGGATAATATGAAGAATTTATATTTTTATCATCAAATAAACATGGATATGTCATTCATTACAATAAGATTGATATTGTAACTGATAGGTGTGTTTATACCTTTCTACCAGACTTTAGATTTTATCCTATTTCTGGGAATTTTTGAAATCAAAGTTCAATAGGTAGAGAATTGATATTTATTTTTTAGGTGCGGGAGAGCCATGCTTCGGCACGAATGGGCCAGCTCGACCGGAGTTATACCACAGCCTCACAGAAGACCGATGTGAAACAACGCTTGCGTTGTGTTTCGTCGTGTGAGTGAGGATACCGGAGTCCCAATTACCAATCCTTAATCTCACCAAATTCCTAATCCCCAAAAGACCGGTAACGCACTCGTAATACTTCTGGGTTTTCGGGTGTCCATGGGCGGTGCCGATTGCGTACCATCAGGTGATCCGTCTGCTAATTTACCGGCTTATTACAAAAAAAGTTCAGTAATTTTAAAACAGTTCATACCAACGAAGTTAAATAAGATTTTTTCTCCATCTGTAAACAGTCAACGAGGCTATCATAAAAGACATTTTTTATTGTCTTACTGAACCCTAAAACACCAAAAAGATGCCGCATAAAAATTTAAAGCGCCTATAAACGAATGTGCCAGTTATTTATTAGTATTATAATACGTTTGGACATTAACTGTGTTATTAAGTTATTTTTAACTAACAATATAACCAGTTTATATAGAGCTTCCGACATCGTAAAGCTTCATAAGCAGCAAGTTCTCTTTAAACTGGACAACCAGTTTAAGCTGTGTCTTTCGGTTTGTATATTGTCTTGGTGGTGGCAGGCCAAGTTATGTTGGTTCTTTACAAATTGGTTCCAAGTAATGTTCAGTTTCAACTCATTAACGACTTTCAAATGATTGATGAATGTGAAGAAGGGTTGAATGGGGTGTCCTGATTCTTATTTTAGAATTTAGTTTTACTTCTTTTAAGTTTAACGTGCAATTTGTTAGTTTATATTTGTAACGGTGACTTTTTTGTTTGAAGCTGTTGCGGAGTGGACTTTTCATCAATATTGCTCTTATGATTTGAGGAAAACTTATCCTTATGATTGAACTATAAGAGACGTTTGCTTAAGGCTCCCTGCATAAGATGCGATCCTTGGAAGTTGTCATAATTATGAGGGCATTTGTATGTGATCCTATATACTACATACTACTAATATACTACTAATCAACAGTTGCTTTTACACATTAGATGAGTTTCTTACAATAGTAAATGAAAGTTTAATGTGTGCAATACTAAGTGTGCAATATTAAGTGTGTTGTTATTTATAAGTCACTGAAATGATAAATATATGTGAATAAAGAAGAAAAGTAATAATAATATGTTAGGAGAAATAATTATGTTATCCTAGTTGTAAGCATTTTTGTAATTGGTTTTATTGAATGTAAGATTTTAACTTTATTATATTGTAAAACTTAACTTTGCATGCCGAATACAGTAGGCGATGTATGTGGAACTATTTTTTATAGTTATTACTACCTGTAATTACCATACTTCGTGCAAATAAACGTTCTTATTCTTGTTCTTATTCTTATAGTGAGATATACTAAATAAATTATTTAATGAGAAACTCGACTAGTTTCTAACCATACAAGAGGCTCATATTCATGACAGCAGCGCAATTCGCGGGTCGTGGAATGCTGCTCATGAATATGAGCCTCTAGTCTGGCTTGAAACTAGTCGAGCTCTTCAATAGATGTGATTGTACCTAGACTATAATTAGAAATTATAAGTCTAGGTTTCCACGTGGTGATTTCCTTCATCGTGTATCAATTTTCCACAGCAAAACTGTGAAACGATTTGTTGTTGGCGGTATTTCCGAACCTATAAGACCTTGAAACCTTCAAGAAAAGAGTGTACTCCTTTTTTAAAGGCCGGAAACGCACCTGTGACTCCTCTGGAGTTGTAGGTGTCCATGTGCGGCGCTGATTGCTTACCATCAGGTGATCCGTTTGCTCGTTTACCTCCTATTCCATAAAAAAGCGTCTAAATATACAGTATATAACTCGGAACTTATGTGACTTTATAAGCACTTGTCAGGTTCCCAACCCTCATGCATGAGAAAGTGTCTTAAGCTTCGGGCCACCACGGCGTTACGACGAGAATTTGTATACAGAAGTCAGAAATAATAACTTTTTGACATCACGGCGAATGCAGTCGCGATGTAATAATATATTAACCATTCATGTAAGTGTATATTATGATGTCTGTCACAGGAGTCGGTTAATTTTACGCTACGATTGAGAAGAAAACAATAAAAAGGGGATCATTACCAAATATTATCATATAAATTGAATATGTACTGTTAACAGAGTAATGTGTGGAGTGTTGAATGTAATAAATTTATTAATTTTATGGCAGGTTTATTTTACTAACACGCTTTTATCAATTGATCGAATTGATGAACTCATGAACTATGCAATAAGTCTAAGAATACGAACCACATAACTTCTATTATTGTTTTTATAATAACTGAAACTTTCAAACTCAAACTCAAACTCAAACTTGGCAACTATTAGAAGATTAGGTGATGCTAGCACTGCATTTGTAACTCCACGTTGCACTGGCATTTCAGGTGTCCATCATCAACAGCCATTAAATGCCCACTGCTGAGCAAAGCCTCTTCTCAAACGGAGAAAGTTTGAGCATTAATTACCACGCTTGCTCAATGCGGGTTGGCGATTTCAAACTTATAATTAGAAATTATAAGTCCAGGTTTCCTCACGATGTTTTCCTTCACCGTTTATCAGTGGTGTCTAAATAATCTTAGAAAGTACATATAACTCGGAAAAAGTCACATTAGTACTAGCCGTTGGTAGATTTCGAACAGGCACCCTCATTCATGAGAAACGGGCTTAAACCTCCGGGCCACCACGATATACATTCAGATGTCCATGGGCGACGCCAATTGCTTATCACCATATGATATATATATAAAAAGTCTAATTATGATCTTTGACGACTCCATAACTTTCTCTAGCAAGCTCAACAGTTGTAAGTTATGATTTGTGTGTGGGTGACGTCATGACGTGACACACGACTTCAGCGACGAGTCACATTGAGACGACTAAAGTCATTTATTATTGTTTACATTTTCTCTCTTATAGGCAGGGTTTTTAATAACAGATGGTATGTAATGTCAAGGGGTAGATATAGTAATTAGAATTTGGAATACAAGAGATATTAATATTGTTGTCTCTGCCTCATTGGCCGAGTGGTCGCAAGTGCGACTCGGCGGTAAAGGGTCTCAGGTTCGATTCTCGTGTCGGGCAAAGTAGGTCATTAAAAAAATCTCAGTAGTAGCACGGAGTCTGGAATTGTTATATGGTTATATGGCAATAGGTTCACCCCATTACATGGGCCTCATAACTTAAATAGTGAAAAGTGGGTGTTACGTTGTACCCTTCAGCGATAAAAGGCGTGATGTTATGTTATGTAATTTAATATTGTTGTATGTTTGTTTTATGACCTTGTAAGTTGTTGTTAATGGAAACGTTTGCTTCTTTCGATTTTACTGATTATTTATTTATTTATTTATTAACGCTTTATGCACAAAGTGTACACAAGGTGGACTTAATGCCGAAGGCATTTTCTCCCAGTCTGACCTTTGGGTGATACAGAGAAGAGTGAATTGTAGGAGCAAGAAGCAAGCAACGATCTAATTGAGAAAATTATCTCGTTGATTGAGCGACAACAAACAAGCAGTGTGTATACGCTTTTAAAAGACTTCAAAATTTTGAAGAGTCTCATTTTACTTGTACTTGTTACTGTATCTAAATAGGTCTATACTACAGATGACCATCAAAGTAAATCTCATTTAAACACAAACCGAACAGTAAATACAGGTTTTATTGATTAAGTGTATTACATTACAAAGTGACAAACAGACAAAGTGCTATTAGGAAAACACTGAAAACTGTCTTCATTCCAGAACCAGGAGCTGCTGTAGTAGAGGTAGAAGGTTCAACGGTAGTTGGTATAATGTCAGGTTCAGACTCATTCTGGATGTTATAGTATCCCATATTTCGAGTAACTCTTTCCATTTCCAGAAGACCAGCCATTATTTCCTCATTGTTAGGAATAATACGTTCTGCAGGCAGAAGGAACCCAAACTCACCGACGTCACGAAGCTCGAAGAGATAGACGATAGGAATTTCGGCTACCCCCTTCACCCAATCGAAGCTGGAACCACTTACTTCATCTGAAAGAGGAATCAATATAAGTATTCTTGTAAACAACAAGGTTGAATTTTTTTTACGGGATCAGTCGGTAAAGAAGCAGACGGATCCTCTGATGATAAATATGGCCCATAGACACCAGAAACACCGGAGGCATTACCGGCCTTTTGGGGATTAGGAATTTGAGGGTTGTTGGGGATTCGGAGATTGGTGAGGGAGGTAGTTAGGCCTCCGATAACCTCATTCACACGACGAAACACAACGCTGGTGTAGTTTCACACCGGTTCCCTGTGAGGCCGTTCTCTATACTCCGTGCCGTAGCATGACCATACACAAATTAATGAAGTTAGTTACTTACAAAAATCTTTGTACAAAAATAAAAAGCTCTACTAGTTGTAAATCACAACGATACTCTTATTTATGAGTAACGTACGCAGACGACTCATTCAAATCACTGAACTATTGATACTAATTGAAACTAAGGAGTTTCAATTAATATATAAAAAAAATTGAGAATATTTGTAATGGACATCAAATCCTACAGTTTTATTGGTACTTACATAAAATATCACCCGATGTACCAACTTGGTAGTCAGTGTTATGTTTGGCCTTCAATTTGTCCATACCTCTGATAGCAATCTCATACTGAAAGAAATAAACACACAATTTTAGTTATAAAAAAACAAGCGAAATATTTTCTTTTAAAACGTTGCCCCACTCAAGGATATTCTCCTGTGTCGTGGGTGCGTTTACAAACATACAAGTTCACATACACATGACACCCAGACCGGGAAAAACAATCTGTGGATCACACAAAGGAATCAAACCCGAGACACGTTACCCAGCCTCCGCCCCAACCGTGCAATCATATCACAAAATTAAAAAAGCATATTAAAAAATTCTCGTATTCACCTTCAATTTATTTTGTTTTTAGAAGCGAAAAGGTAAGGATAAAAGTAAAAGACATAGATAAAAGTAGAAAGACGCACCATGTCAGCATAATTAGGAGCTTGAATAACATCATATCCAGAAAGATGACTGTAGGGCACCAAGACCATTTGAGAATAAGAATGGAAAGCAAAATAGTAGATCATACGGCCTTGGTTCTTGATATTCAAAACATAACCGGCTATGGCTTGAGATTCAGGCTCCGAAAATTCAATGGGACCGGCGTAAGTTTCGTCGCAAGGGTTCTGGGAGGCACCAGTTACTGTAATAGAAATGTAGTGTCAGAAAATTGTTATTAACCGCCTTAAAAAAATTCTCAGTTATATACCTGTGGACGTATGTATGTATATACTAGCTTTTACCCGCGGCTTCGCTCGCGTTACAAAAGAATAAAAAGTAGCCTATGTAACATATACCAATACACACAGCGCCATCTATATCAATACTTTTGTTTTTCCTATCAATTTTTTCCGGGTTAAAAAGTACCCTATTATTTAATCCGGACTTCTAACTTTACGTCTGCAAAAATTTAAAGCAATCGGTTAAGTAGTTACGGCGTGAAGGTGGAACAAACAAACAAACTCACTTTTAGATTTATAATATTAGTAAGGATGGGACAATCAAGCGATTGTCTCTCAACCGATAAGTGTTTGTTACACATAGGAGAAGGTTGTAGTATTCTTATTAACGGACTTGAAAAAAGGAGGGTCGAATTATTTCTTTTGTTTTATATTATGTCATTTAGTAAAGGTCTGCTTGATGCAGGCCACTTCCAACCAGTCAATCTGGAAGTTACAGAGAGCCCGTGTTTAACAGTAGATGTTTTATGGTTGATAATATTGACGATGATACATACATTATTATAATTTACTTACACATCCATACAAATCCGAAGTTTCTATTCAAATCGATACCATTGCTTATATCATCTGCTACAGTTGCACAAGGTGTAAAATTATCCTTGCCTCTATTCTTTCTCCACATTCTGTTCTGTAAGAAATATAAAAGAAAATTCATATCAAATCATTTAAGTTTTGATATAAAGAAGGTTCAAATTATTGTACTAAAACAAATTTAAACTTACATTGTTGAAAGTGTAATAGTATCCATCAGGGTTGACAACAGGGAAAATATGCCAAACAATATTTTCTGCCATGAACCTAACATTTTCATCGGTACTGGTTAAGAATTCGTTTATAATGTACGTCACTGTTGCTGGAGAAATCCATTCTCTTGAGTGAATACCACCTTCAATCATACCAATTACTGGGTTCTCTTCTTTTTTGTAGTCAATTTTAACACCCCAGATAGTTCTGCCTTCAACAGAAGTTCCAAGGTTCACAAGAGTGGCTACATCTGAATGCTCCTCTACAATTCTGCTCAGCCAGGCGTTGATTTCATCTAAGGTCAGGTAGTAGGTCCAGTCGTAAACTACATTTCTGCTAACTGGCCGTTTTACTTGATCGTCGATTAGTCTGATGTAAAATGAAATAAGAGTTTAAAAGGGTCCTTTATTTATTATCAAATATGACTTACGATCAGAAGGTATCAATTTTGAACCGCTAAAGGTTGTTCAGTGTACAACACTAGGTTCATGTTCATCACTTAACAAAAGATATTTTTTTTAAATTATCAAAAAAACACCTATCGCTTAGGAGTATAACTCCTTCGAACGCTTAGAAAAAGGTAGTTGTACTTACTTTTGGACATCATTGAAAACCACTTCAGCAGGGATATTGACACTTTTGAAGTAATTCTCAAATTCTTCTTGATTCTTCGGTGCTACCATTATCTTCACATCACTGTATAGACTTACAATATCATTCCAAAAGTAATATTGAGGTTGTTTTCTTAAGTCGAGAAGTATTTGTACTTCATTTTCGTTCTTAGGGACTATTTTGTACACTTTATGATCCTTATACGAAACATATTCTGCATTTACTGCAGCTACTAGAACTACTAAAAATATTATTTCTTTTAAAATCATCGCGTATACTTCCTCCACGCGTCACCTGTATAATGATTTGTGTAAATAATCATTGGAATTACAATTAATCGTGTCCTTATCTGTTTTATTATATGCTTATTGATAAATAGTTTTATTATTTTACAATCGATATTTGGGAGTTAGTCCATGCTAATAAATATTTATGGCGGAACGTTTATAATTTTTTTAAAAATCATTATTGTTATCATCAAATTTATATGCTTTTGATAATAATTCTTGTTTTTTAAAACAGTCATTTAAAAAGGCATATTGCATAAAAGTTATTTTGTTAGAGCCAATGCATTTGTACATTTTTTAATGTGGCTTAAAAACAATACGGTTAAGGCGTCTCGAAATTCTAGTACGATACATTTTGCTAAAATGTGGTTTACATAATTATTTTCGTATGTTAAGAATTTTACTAACGTTTATTCTAATGGCCATTAGGTAGCTATTGCAATTTCAAAACGATGTTTGTTTGATATAAAAAATATGTTTAAGTAATAATTTAATGATTAAGCCCTGATTAGATTATATCCAATTTATCTGACTGTTCCGTAGATAACCTCATATAGCCACATGAGGTTAAACACAATTAACTACGTAAATTTTATGTATTGTTAAAATTACACTATGTGAATTTTTTTTTTTTTTATGGCATAAGCTGGTAAACGAGCAGACGGATCACCTGATGGAAAGCAATCGGCGTCGCCCATGGACACCTGGAACACCAGAGGCGTTACAAGTGCGTTACCGGCTATTTGTGGATTAGGAGTTTGAGGATTGTTGGGGATTCAGGGATTGGGGAGATTGGGGAAGGGGAGGGAAATTGGGCCTCCGGTAACCTCACTCACGCGACGAAACACAATGCAAGCGTTGCTTCACGTCGGTTTTCTGTGAGGCCGTGGTATCACTCCGGTCGAGCCGGCCCATTCGTGCCGAAGCATGGCTCTCCCACACTTGCAAAAATCTACGAGAAAAAACTACTCCTCACCATCATTTTCATCGTATCATGCGTTAGTACGTAACAAAAGACGTTTTCTTTCTTTTTTCATCATCATCATCATCAACAGCCTATAAATGCCCACTGCTGAGCAAAACCTCTTCTCATACAAAGAAGGTCTGAGCTTTAATTTTTTATTTCAAATCAATAAAAGTTATTTTTTTCTTTTAACACGTTGCCGCACTAGGATTTTCTCATGCGTCGTGAGTGCGTTTACAAGTTGACTTACACAGTTCAGGTCTGTAAATGTATCACCAGTATCCTGATGGTGAGCAATCGGCGCCGCCCATGGATTCCCGCAACACCAGATATAGTGTATGGAGATAAAATATATTATCATCTCCGACGTCAGCAGTTTCATTTCCATTATTTGATGCAGAGGGTGATCATAAATAAATTACTACTTTAGTAATGTAGAAGATGTATTGTTCTTAAGATTTTGTGTATGGGAGCGTAAATGATACACGGACAAGAGTATAGAATGGATGCTATATTGCGACTAAACAATTTTACAATAGCAGGCGCAGCTGGATATAGGCACACACACTTATATAATAAAATACATTACTTTGCATGTTATTACATGCGCCACCAATGAACATGTGTCCCTACAGTAAGTTAATTTTATTTATAAATAGTTAATTGCGAACGCTTACGAATCATAATAATTCAATATACAAGAACATCATTCAGTCTAACTAAATAAATAAATATCACAAATCTTGTACTTAATTTTAACTGAATTGAAAAATTAATTATTATGTTTTAGGCTTACTCACGTAGTAATTTGACGAGGAACTCGACTAGTTTCAAGCCATGAGTAGCAACGCGACAGTCGCCGCGTCGCGGGTCGCGAAATGCTGCTCATGAATATGAGCCTCTAGCATGGCTTGAAACGAGTTCCTCTTCAAATTATTACGTGAGTAAGCCGAAAACATAATAATTTATTTAGGATGTCTCACGAAAGTTACAATATACGAATTGAAACATTATTATACCTCTAATATATCTATCTATAAATATTTTCAATAGGTACTTGCCGGAGGGTTTGAAACTTACCAACGGCAAGTACTAATCAGATTTTTTCTGAGTTATATTTACTTTCTAAGATTATCTAGACACCACTGACCAACGGTGAAGAAAAACATCGTAAGAAAACATGGACTTAATTAATTTTTAATTATAACTTTATAATCGCCAATCCGCATTGAACAGACATGGTGATAAATGCTTCCTTATTGTATGCTTCATTATCCGTGGTGATAAACCTTCTTCGTGAGCGATGTGATATGATGTAGAGGTATATTTTTAATACATATATTCGATATACATACTATATATTTCTAAAGTACTATGGAGTTTCTTGCTCGTTCTTCTCCATAGGAATGTACACTTTGGAACGAGCAAATAGCTTCACTAGACTGACTTACAGACTGACATAATTATTTCTTATTATATAATATTGAAATATTTTGTTTTGACGTTCAAAAGTGCCTTCCTGGTCTAATTGATATAAATGATTTTGACTTTGACTTTGACTTTTTTATTGAATTTTAATAATAATTCAGGGCTTTGGTGTTCTTGTCCATTTCGATGAGACCATCCATAGTCTCCAGAGCAGTAGGGATGATCTGGTCTGCTGGTAGAAGGAACCCATATTCCCCAAGGTCACGAAGCTCAATGAGGTACGATATAGGAACGTTCACATCGTACTTAACCCAGTCGAAGGAGCCTCCACTCATGGGATCTAGAATAAAAAAAATAAAGGATAATTACAGCAAAAATATAGTTTTTTTTATGGCATAAGCCGGTAAACGAGCAGACGGATCACCTGATGGTAAGCAATCGGCGTCGCCCATGGACACCTGGAACACCAGAGGCGTTACAAGTGCGTTACCGGCCTTTTGGGGATTAGGAGTTTGAGGATCGTTGAGAATTCAGGAATTGGGGAGATTGGGGAAGGGGAGTGTAATTGGGCCTCCGGTAACCTCACTCACACGACGAAACACAACGCAAGCGCTGCTTCACGTCGGTTTTCTGTGAGGCCGTGGTATCACTCCGGTCGAGCCGGCCTATTCGTGCTAAAGGATGGCTCTCCCACACTTAAAGTTAATTTACACTGAATAATTTTTAGTACTATTTACAATGGTTTTTGTCTTTTCAGCCAAGTTTGACTGTCGATTGGAGCTGTAATGTTATGCTTGGTTGATTGAATGTGGTGTTATAGGACATGGGTCCAAACCCGCATTTATTAATTATTTAATTTTAACATCCTAAACTTTTAAGTTTCTTGTTCGCTGCCACCGTTCACGACGTTATCATTGTTATGTCAAAAACATACCTAAATACATACATAACACATACACAGGTCAAACTGAAAACCTACTTTTTTGACAACATAACATCACGCCTTTTATCCCCGAAGACCCCCTTCGGCAGAGGTGCACCTAACAGCACTTAATGTCACTGTCCAATGTAATACTTACCACTTTTCACTATTTATGTTATGAGTCCCATGTAATAGGGGGTGAGCATATTGCCATATACCGGGCACAATTGCAGGCTTCGTGCTACTACTGAGATTTTTTTTAAAACCTAGTAATACATTGTCCTACCCGGGATCCGAAACCGAGACCCCTTGTCCGGCAGTCGCACTTGCGGACACTCGGCCAGCGATGCCGCTTTTTTTGAAGTCGGTTAAATAGTAATATAAAGCAATACTTACACATGACATTAGCAGAAAGTCCAACTCTGTACTGTGTTCCGTAACGTTTTGCTATAGCGTCAGCACTTTTTATCGCAATTTCGTACTGAAAGCAACACATTGGGTTATTTTAAAAACTCTATAGAATGACCTCCTTATCTACTATATATTTCTGGACATGTATTATTACAATCCTGCAGCTGTAGCCAAATGCCACTTAGCGCTTGTCTACATGTAGAATAGAAAACCAAATTATATGGAATTGACGTAAATTTTGACACTTGTCAGTGTCATCCCCATACATTTTGATTTCTACTCTCTCTGTAGACAAGCGCTAAAGTGGCGTTTGGCTAGAGGCCCTGTAAAATTGTATTCTCGGTTCCATGGCAGGATATAATCTGTGGGCAGTTTAGCAGCAGCAGCAGTTTAGCATTTAAAAATAATATTAGTAGGATAAATACTTCTTGTTATGTAACCTTATTAAGTAATTAAGTTTTATTCATTAATTTTTTAAAGAATGCTGTACATCCCTCTTGTAATCGCATATTATTGTTATCTATTTTTATTTACCTATAGCATTATATTTTTTTTCCTTATAGTATTTTACGATTATCTGATGAAAATATTATTTTCTTGTTTAATATACTTATGTACACAAATAGGCATGATGACAAATTTCGATAAACTGGTTTTTCAGGGTCATCAATCAATGTATGTCAAATTTCTGCTTGAAATGAGGAATAAATATTAAATAAAATATATTTTACTTTAATTTTTTTTATTGCCGCCAATACGCTTAAATTTGTCAATGGCGTCGCTTGTGACGTCACGTTCGATATAAACATTGACGATTACAGTATTCATTTTGCATTGTTTGTGTTATAAAATGAGTGATAAGTTCGAGATCGCATAAGGGTTGTGCAGTGCCTCTGTTTACTAACATATTTGTAAAAAGCCCGGACAAGTTATTTATATTTGTTCTCTATGATAAAATGATACAAAATAAATGCCTTAAATTTCTTTCTTATTAGGATGTATTAATTTAAAGTAACTACGTACCATATCAGCGTAGTTTCTTGATTGCCATGCATTTTCAATGTAGACATGACTGTACGGTACAAGAATCAGTTGTGTGTATGAATGGAAAGCAATGTAGTAGATCATTGTGCCTATTTGATCAAGACGGCGAACGTATTGAGCAATTGCTCTTGATTCAGGTTCGGAGAAGGGGATTGGACCGGCGTATGTATTGGTGCACGAGTCGTTTGAAGCTCCTATAACTGAAAGTTAAAATAAAAAATATGTAAGTATATAACATAACATAACATCACGCCTTTTTATCCCCGAAGGGGTAACAGAGGTGCACATTACGGCACTTAATGCCACTGTACAATGTAACACCCACTTTTGACTATTTATGTTATGAGTACCATATAATAGGGGATTAGCCTATTGCCATATACCGGGCGTAATTCCAGACTACGTGCTACTACTGAGAATTTTTAAAACCCCCTGCCTGGCAGTCGTACTTGCGACCACTCGGCCAACGAGGCAGTCAATAGGCAGTCAGTAAAATGGATGTTACGTTTAACATCACGACTTTTTACATAACAAGACGCACTTACCCATCCACTCAACTTCAAAGTTCCTATTGAGATCCACACCATGACTCATATCATCGTCAACTCCTTCAGCACAGGTTTTTATATTTTCTGGACTGCGATTTTTTCTCCACATACGATTCTGTAAGACGAAGAATATGCAACTGAAAGTAGGTTTTTATAATAACTATCGTGAGACATACTAAATTAACTGATACACTTAGCAAAGCGCTCATATTAGTGAGCTGCGCGACGTCGCCGCGACCGCGCACGCTGCTCATGAGGAAGAACCCGTCTGTGGTTCGAAACTAGTAGAGTTTTTCTCAGTATATTCACGTGAAAAACCCACGATTTTAGTTAATTTTGAAAGTCGGTCCTTTGTTTCTGTATACTCGCTTCTGCCAGCGGCCGCAGCCGCGTGTCCGTTAAATACAAAGTGTCCTATGTGGAATTCCAGACCATATCTAACCACTGCTCCAAATTTCATTTCGATCCCTTTAGCCGTCATGACGTGACAACGGAAAAAACACACATATATCCTCACTAACTTTCGCATTTACAATATTAGTAGGATATAACGTTATTATTTCCATTACGATCTTTGCAAAACTTGAAGTATTTAGTCCTTAACGACCATTACCTACTTAATTAGGTGCAAAAGATAATATTTATTAACGTATTAATCAATTAATCATACATTTAACGTGACTATTGTACCTACTCATAACATAATTAAGTATATTTTTGTAGGACACTGAATACTAGAGAGAATATTGATTATTCTATGATCAAAAAAAAGATTGGCTGTCCAAACAAGAGTTCCAGTTAAAGATTGAAAAAGATACTCACATCGGTAAAAGTATAAACATATCCATCAGGATTCACGACAGGAAAAATGTGCCATTCAAAGGTCTCTGCCAAATGCCTGATCTCAGGGTCTTCACTGGTCAAAAATTCTTTGATAATCCAAGTAACGGTAGCAACGGAGATCCATTCTCGGGAATGCAAGGTACCTTCTAACATTCCTATGAGTGGGTGAGAATCGCTTTCAGCATTATCGTTATGATAGTTTATGACGATTCCTTTTATATCTCTGCCTTCTACAGATTGCCCCATTACTACTGTTTTAACTACGTTTGGATGATTTGCTTCTAGTTCATCAAGCCAATTGTATAGAGTGTCGAGGTCATGGTAAGCTGTCCAGTCGTATGATAGGTAACTGGAGGATGCGTTTATGTTTTCTGGATTACGTTGCTTGTCGATTGTTCTGGAAATGAGGAAAAAAGAATTTTATGATTTGAAAGCAGGTCATTGATTAAAAAAATTTACAAGTTAATATAATATCATACTCGTGCTTAGTACGGTGGCCTGCACGTCAACCTATCTGCAAAATTTGTTCACTACATCTCGAACTTTATTGCGTTGAAATAAATCTAAATTTAATTAAATACATTTTACAGATTGGAATAGGATCTGCTGGTCACTGTAGTTTGCACAAAAGACACACATCTCACTAGCCTTAATTAGTACCTACAAACTTTACTCGATTTTTAGGGGGGGGCACACTGGGGGGAATCATCGAATGACTGCTTCCGCCTGAGTGAGGCGGGAGGGAGTGAGTGAGTGGAGGGAGTGAGACTTACTGACCAAAAACCACCCCGTTCCTTCTTCTGCGCTTCGAGCCGGAGCCCCGGTAACCCGTTAGGTTCTCCGCGACAAGTTTACTTGATTACATTTACTATTTAATGTACTACTGCTTACCTTTGTACATCATCAAGCAGCAACGATGCTTCAATGTTTTCTGTCCTCAGAAATTCAATGAACCGTTCATGTTTCTGTGGCGATATCATCACCTTCGAATCTCTATCCACTCTGAAGCCATCTTCCCAAAACTCACCGATCCTAGCTTCTTGTAATTTTGCTAATACTTGCACTTCACTATCATCTTTGGGTGAAATTTTATACAGCTTGTAACCATCATAATTTACCTTCACAGCACTAGCAAAACTTAAAATTGTTAAAAGAAATACTAAATTGATGGAATTCATTTTGGATTTGAGACACGCACTAAGTGCGATTGCTTAACCTCCTATGATAAATGTCTATAGAACTGATAATAGCCCAATAATCTGATAATAAATGAGACGATTTATCATCATGAAATATTAAATTTTGAACGCGTCATTACGATATTATTTGATAGTTTGTAATTAGAAAACTTGATTGTGATCTTGCAAAGATTTGGGTTGGGATAGCGGTATGATATCTTTTTTACTGGCCATTTATCATATTTATCTTGTCCTAATTATTATTTTATGTTAACTTACCTTGATGTATGCAAAAATGCATAAATACATTTTTAAATCTTTATATTATGAGCCTTGATCTAATTTTGAACTCTTGAGAGCTCAATAGTGGCTGCCACTACAAGTATTGCACATATTTTTGACATTGATGAGTCCCAATTTAATTCTGTGTAGTTTAGTTTACCATAAAGAAGTGTTCTATTTTGTATATATTATGTTGAGTGGAGATTAGTGAAATATTTTGGGCTTTATATCTCAACATTCTCTGTACCTAGATAATGAGATAATAATTATCTATCAGATTAATTATGTTACCAATTTTTTGGGACGCGATATTCAATGTTTCGCAACTCATGTAGTAATTTTTCTTGTAGAAAATTATAAGGTTGAGATTAAGATCCTTCGCAAAGGAATTTCGAATTTAATTTTATATAGAATAAACTATAAAACCGTATAAACAAAATAAAATACAAGATTGTTCGACAACAGTCCGGAGTAAGTTTTGCAAAGTTTTCCTTGCTGTCAATTTGGTCTGTATTCCTTTGTGTTAAAGACGTTTTTGGTATGTCTTATGTGCGTATATTGTTGCACATTTCCCCTTTAGTTGGTGTAACTGTCTTGCAGTACAATTGCTTGTGGACTGCGGTACATCTGTAGTTGTTTGTAGGAACTTATGCACAATGAGAATTACTTCAGTATTTTCCACTGTTTACTTCATATTTTTAAAGTTCATTATTTTTGTAAAATAGAGGAAATTTTGTTTGGTGTTATTGTTTGGGAAGTATTATTTTATTTGGTGTAAGTATTTTAGTTCGTGTTTTAAATAGGAAAGATTATAAGAATATATTGATTGCCTGTATTATGTGACATCTAACAGTAATTCAATAAAATATCGAGATAAATCGTAAAATAATAAGATGATTTTTTTTATTTCCAAGTATATGGTACATTGAGGTTTTACATTAAATATTGTTTCAAATACACTACCATTGCTGGTGTAGAAATATTATGTTAACCATGCTTTATAAAATTAAAAAAAAAACTAGTAATTACAATAATGCCAAGTAAATTGAATCACACATTATAAGAATTTGGTTGGTACATGACATTAAATAGAAGTAACAATATTATTTCCATCAAAATGTCAAAATATCTTATATAATAATATACTAATGCCCGGGCAAGAGGTCTCGGGTTCAATTCTCGAGTCGGACAAAGTATTCCTGCACATACCCAGACTCCGGTGTGTCCGGTATACATATGGCAATAGGCTAACCCCTATTATATGGGACTCATAACATAAAAGTGGTTGTGTCACATTGTACAGTGGCATTAAGTGCCGTAACGTGTACCTCTGCTTACCCCTTCGGAGGTAAAAGGCGTAAAGTTATATTATGAATTATAGTAATTAAAATCTGAATATCTTTAGTTCAAAAGTTTATTACTAAATCACTATCAAATAGTCCAAGTAATCTATTGAACCTATTAACACACACACATACACAGTTAACAAGACAAGCATAGTTACATTACACGTACAAAAAAAAAAAAGGAAATTTAAAACAGAATTCCATTTTCCATTCTATAAAGACCCTTACGCACTTGCCGTAGCCCGCTCCTTGGGTGGGTCAGAGCGGCACAATTATATTTATCGCCGCGTACCGCCGTGTCCTCAGTCCACGCATAAATCAGCTCACGTACGATGTCGAAGTGACGTGTCGTCGATCGCTGCGACTAACTTTGCAATGGGAACGATCCTTTACATTCGCTATTTATCTTTTGTAATATTGTATGCATGTTAAAATGTCGTTCTCAATATTGCTTGTCTGCAAGACTTGTGCGACCATGTCGATTTTTTTTGTTGATTAATTGTTGATTCGTGGATAAAGTATATATTTTTTATATGATTATTATTTCATTGGCCGACTGACTCATTGGCCATGTGGTCGCAAGTGCGACTGCCGGGCAAGGGGTCTCGGGTTCGATTCCCGGGTTGGGCAAAGTATTATTGAATTTTTAAAAATACTCAGTAGTAGCACGGAGTCTGGAATTGGGCGGGACTTATTACATAAATAGTGAAAAGTTGGTGTTACATTTAACAGTGGCATTAAGTGCCGTAATGTGCACCTATGCCTATCCCTTTGTCGCGGAGAACCTAACGGGTAACCGGGGCTCCGGCTCGACGTGCAGGAGAAGGAACGGGGTGGTTTTTAGTCAGTAAGAGTCTGACACTCCCTCCCGCCTCACCCAGGCGGGAGCAGCCATTCGATGATTTTCCCCCCTTAAAAAAAAAATGCCTACCCCTTCGGGAATAAAAGGCGTGATGTTATGTTATGTTATTTCAATTATTACATGTTATGTCATTTAATGAAATAACATAACATAATATCACGCCTTTATGTTATGTAACATCACGCCAAGCGAATGTTCTTAAAACGGCGATATTAAAGATAATTATTATTTCTTTTCATTCATGACTTTCATCACTATTATCATCTATACCTAATAGGCCACTGCCAATGAAAATAATAGGACCTTGATGCCATGGAGAATAAAGGGCATTGCTTACCAAATTTTTATTTTCTCAAGGCAAATTATAAGTTCTATAAACATAGATCGTATAGTTAGTCTTCAGTATTAATCAGGTTACAAATACCGCACCATCGCCCTCTCCACTATCCGTAGATCCTGCAACAACCAAATTGAACTCTTCAGTACACTATTAGTTGATTGGACGTGCTATAATGCTAGTATTTATATTGAGATTCAATGGTTCAGCAAATTGATTTCAAGTAGCCATCTGATTATAATCTCTGTCAATTAGGGACGGTATAAACGGTGTTATTATCAGGTTATTAATAAACCTATAATTATAACTAGCTCACTTCAAATGTGTAGGGGAAATTAGTATTGAGTTGTACCTACTGGAATGTTTGTTTTTTTTTTAAGAGGGGAAATTTTCGAATGACTGCTCCCGCCTGGGTGAGGCGGGAGCAGTGTCAGACTCTTACTGACTAAAAACCACCCCGTTCCTTCTCCTGCACGTCGAGCCGGAGCCCTGGTTATCCGTTAGGTTCTCTGCGACTCCGAATCGACACGGCCCTGTTAGGCCCCATCTGTGGTGGTCTGATGGCTCTTTGAGGCACGCGCGGAACGCGACGCGCCGTACGGTCGGACCTACTGGAAGTTTGGTCAAGAACTCACGCGCGATCTTCTCCCACGCCGCGGTTACGGAATGGAGGCGGAATTTTTAAAACTCACGAGACTGCAGTTTTCTGTGATCCCGCTGCCGCCGTGTTTGCGATTATCGCTCGCAAACTTGGCGGTTGATTATCGCAAAAGGGACGGGCGATTAAACAGTCAGTTGAGTTCCAATTGCGATCGCCAATAGATCGCAGGACACGCGGGTGCTAGCCACCGCAACTGCGGGACCGCAGCAGCGCCTGCTGGTACAGCGGGAGCAGCAAACAATCATAACCGCCACGTTTTATATCACATTAAGATCAATAGAGAATAGAGAGAGATGATAGTTATGTAATATTTATAAATTTATAAAATGTTTGTTTTGTCCGTAGGTTTAGCTGACCCTTTCAAAATAAAAGGCAATAATATAATAATTTCCGAATAGCCACTTAATCATCACCATATCTACCAAAAACGGGGCAAAATACAATAATTTTCAATGGGTATCTGAACATTTATGATTCTCCCTTAAAGGGCTAGGCAGGAACAAAATAATTTACGATCAGCCCAGTACCGCTTAATCAGCGGTTGGTTCATTGTTAACTCGCTCAGCGCGGAATAATGGCGCTATTGTCTCTTAGTATCGCGATAAGTTTGTGGTTTAAGTTGAAAACTTTATATTTTCTTCGATTTTGTACCATATTTCTTAGAAGTTGATGTGACAATGTTGTTCCAAGATATTTTGATTGTTGTTTTGGTTGATAAGTTCCAAATTCCAATTGCAGCTCAGCAGTTTCTTCATAACTTTTGTATGTATGAAGCAATAGGTTTTTCTTTCAAAGATCACACATAATTCCTAATTTGACCAAACACTACAATGGAATTTTTAATCAAATGAGTAATTTTAACTCTTGCCTAATAATAATAAAAGGATGGAAAAACGCTCCAGTATCAGAATTTTGGCTGTATATTTATATCCTCTATCACATCAGTTCATTTGGCTTGGAAAAGGCTTGGAAAAAAATGAGTGCACCCTGTACTCACTCAAAGAGCCATCAGACCACCACAGATGGGGCCCAATAGGGCTGATGCCGATACGGAGCCGCGGAGAACTTAACGGGTTACCGGGGCTCCGGCTCGACGTGCAGGAGAAGGAACGGGGTGGTTTTTAGTCAGTAAGAGTCTGACACTCCATCCTGCCTCACCCAGATACGGGAAGACCTTTTAATGATTGTCTACCCTTAAAAAAAATCCTGTACCTACGTACGCACATATAGACATAATCAATAATTGTTTTATTGGTTAATGGTAGCATAGTTGACAACAATCGCGATAGTCAGTTCGATTATAGTCATTAATTATTTCCAAATAACATACCACTGTACGATGTAACACCCACTTTTCACTATTTATATTATGACTCCCATGTAATAGTGGGTGAGCCTATTGCCACATACTGGGTACAATTACACATTATTTTCAAGTGACAATTAAAATTCGAGATTTCATTAATAATTTCAATACCTATATCTCTTATACATTAAACCACATGATCTCCTTTATCAAAGCCTCCTGTATCGAGCTTGTTCGAGTCGCATACGATGCTCTCAAATTG